GGTGGTTGTGTCAATAAACAAAAAAATGTAAATAAATAAAAATAAGTGCAACTCATTTCCTTTCCGGCCGGCTACTTTCAATTCGAATGCTTAAATGGAAGAATGGAAGTGAAGTCGGGGAGGCAGGCAGCACAGGAATATAGAAACACATCTGCCGGCAGCTGCTTTGACAATTCTACGTGAAATCATTGTATATGCTTAGGCGTACGCATAAATTCCAATTGGAGAAAATATTTTCACAACAACAGCGCAGCAAAGAAGCATGACATCGACTTCGCTTAGAATTGCTTTGCTTTTGTTTATAAACAAAGTGTGTGTGCTACGCCGTGTGACAGACGCTGGCAGCGTATGCTGACGCAGGCAGCACTTGTGCGGGAGTCGCAAACGGAGGATACGAAACCAAACATTCACACTTGCGATTTATTTTTAATTTATGTTTTTTCAATTTCACGTCAGTGTAAATAAGAATTGGCAACAGGAGCGGTTTTCGTAGTGAAAGGGAAAAAATAATTCATAAAATAAATTATATAAAATAATTATTTATTTATAATGCTAATTTTTTCTTGGCGAGAATGATGCGACTTTTTGACGAAAATAAACTATTTAGACGGATTGAGTTAGACGGATTCGAATAGCATAGAGAAGACAAAGACAAAAATTTTAGTTTATAATTTATACTTAATTATTTTATTGTAATAACTAATATTAAAAAAGTATATGTATATTAATATGTATATATTATTAATTAAAATATTTACATGAAATGTTTATAATAATATTATATATTTATACGAACAGAAACTTATATTTTAAAATAAAAAAATTAAACTTTAACAAACGTACATTTAATTATTGAGTTTACCAATTATTTGTTTTTAATTCCAAAAGTTAATAATACTTGACTTAACATAAAATTATAAATATAAAAAAATAAAAATTGGCTCGGCCCATTAACCACTTATTTTCTAGTTTTGTTTTTTTAACACCTCGTAAAGCAATCGAAAGCTCAAGGCAATGTGAAACTTCAACCAACTAAAATCACCTCAATTTTCTACGCCTTAACCGGCTAGCCGACATCACTCTTATCTGTGTTCCTGAATATAGAAATATTGAAGAAAATCATAAAGCAGATAGGTTGAGCTCACCTTGGTTGGTAGCAAAATGAAACTCTAGAAGTGCCAATTATTTTCTCCTAAAGATTGTTAAGAGAAATACTTATCAGATTGCCAGTAACAAAGAAGAAGACACTGAGATCATGTGTAATTTTCAGTTTAACACGGGTGTCTAGATTTTGAAAACTCGTTGAAAAAGTTCACGTGAAAGCTCTAAGGCTTACTGCATGGGGTTTTTGACCAGTGGTGTTTAAAAACACATTGCAGAAGTTTGGGAAATTAAAAGCAAAACGAAATTATTAGACACTTTCTCTGTGAATAACCACCTCTGGCATTCAGAAGAAATAGTTTTTTGAGGAAGTACTTTTTTGACAGCTTGTTAGACTGCTAATCGGTAAGGAGAAAAAATCTATTGAATTAACTAGATTCGGAAGGTTGGATTTAGTTTGTAATTTTTATCTTAAAGTTTTTTCCAAGGAATGTAATAATAAGCCAAACCTTTATACTACGAATCTCATACTGACCATATTTAGTACCACTTATAGAAAGTGTATTGCTTATTTCAATGGTTTTCAGTATTTCAGCAGTTTTGCCTTGCTTTTTAGCTCCTGAATTAATCTTGCTGAATATTATTATTTATCTTTTATTATTTTTCATTATTTATTATTAGTTATTAATTATTAGCTATTAATTAGTTTCAAAAAATGGGTATTTAATGATGGATATCTGGCAATACTCAAAACAGCTGTATGGACATTCAAAAATTCATTTTATTATAATAACAAAAAATGAATTTTTGTTGTTGTAGTTCACTACTGTTTGAAAAACCTCATTTTTATTAAGTATTAATCTTTACTATTTTCACAGCGAGTTGAATATCTATTGTATCCTATTAATAGATTTAGTGTATTTCTTCAACTTTGATTTTCTTGAAATAGTAATGTTCAATCCTGCTTTACCTTATTATTAATAATATGATAATAATATGATAATACCTATTAGTCTATATTAGCCTATTTAGACTAATACTTTTTGGTCATATTTCATCGTTCTATATAAATACCTATCTGAAGGTTTTCTTTAGTTTAGTGTTGGAGGCGTACTCAACAGCACTCAAAAGGGAAAAATATTTTCAATAAATTTAAAAAAAAATTCCTTACATAAAATTCTGTATCAGCATCCGGTTGACTTTGATTTATGGCATTGAATAAATTTCCACAATTTCCTCTCTAATTACTGACCTTGACATCATCACATTTGACGTCATCGAATGCACTACAACCCCTAAAATGTTTTCACATTCACACATATTTTGCCCCTATTTTGTGTTAATGAAAATATTTCTTCTGACTGCCGCAATTTAATGTATCAATTAAAATAATTTTTTTAATTTATTTAAATTGCCAATTCTTGCTCGGCTTTGTTAATTTTTGTATTGTTTACCCGCAGCCAACCCTGTTGTGTTCTCACTTCACAAAGCAATTCAATACAAAAACACAAACACACACGCTCTGCTCATTAATGCATCAATGAAATACTTTATGTCATATAGCGCTGCCAGCGCTCACTGCTGCTGCTACGCTAAAACACACTGCTCTACAGTAATGGCTACAATAATTGTGCCGTGTGTGTGCACATAAAGGGTACTCGCTGTTAGTGTACGTACACTGCACAGCAGCAGCATAAAAAGCAAAGCAAAATGATTTTATTTTATTTTGTTTTCTATAAGCAAAACAAAAAGCAAAAAAAAAAACAAAAACAACTGCAAACAAATTGTATCTCAATCTTGTTGCTGGCGCTGTTAGTTGTGGCGTTTGGTGTTGTTGTTGTTTTTGCTTTTGCTTTTGTTAGCTTTTTTTTTTGTGTTATTATTTTTGTTTTGCTTCGCTTTTCGTTTCGGCTGTCGCATTTGTTGGTAGCGTTAGCGGCAGCGTTGTTAGCTTCTTTTGATTTAGTTTTAATTCTGACTGCGGACGGTTTAGTTCGTTGAAAGCGCGCTACGCTGTGCGATTTGGATGGAAATAAGTAAAAACAAAAACAAAAAAATATTGAAATTCTTAAATTGAAAATAAAAGTTTTGCTTTGCTTGTTCGTTGGACTGTTGGACTCAAGGAAGCAGTCGACGAGTAGCGCAAAGATACTTTTCAACGCGTTGTGAATTAACTTTGAAAACAAGAAGCGCGCGCGCTTTTGGCGTTTTTTTGGGGAATTTGTTGTTGTTAGTTTATTAATAAAATTTAATTTCGTATCTTAAAACTATTTTTCGTTAGAATTTTTGTCACAAAATACAAAAGATACTTTTGTCATTACAAAAAAAAAATACAAAAACATAAACTAAATGAAAATTGGTATTGCAAAGATGCTGTTGAAAAATTAGTGAGTTAAAATTCTTAGAGCAAAAAAAAAAATATCAAACTGTGATGTCATTTTTTAAAAGAAAAAAATTATATTTAAAATTTTAGAATTATTTTTTTTTTTTTTAATTTAAAAAAGTTTTTCTAAATTTAAAATAACTCAATTTTTCGTTCTGTTTAAAATGCGAAGTGTGCGCACATGTTGCATGCAAAGTAGTTGCATTGCTGCAGATGCCAGCAGCGCCGCAGCATCACAACAAATTTGCCAAATTGGATTTTTCTGACATTGACGGATGAGTATCTCTTAACTAAGCCATAGATAGTTTTAACCAAAAAATTATTTCCTCTTCCATTCTTAGTATGTCAAATGGTGTGCAATAATTAAAAAAAATTAATTTAATTAATTAAATTAATTAAAAAAAAATAATAATCTTAAAATGCTTTAAAGTCATTTTTGAAACGCAATCCATCGGTTGGTTCAGTGCAGCGAGAAACCCAGAAATTCTGATACGTGCGTCTGTGCTCAAAGGACATTTGAGTGCAGAATGAAGTCATCACATCAAAATTGGGTTACACTGCGCGAAAAATTCTGAAAAATTCTGAAAAGTTCTGAAAAGTTTACATGAAACAAAATTTCAAAAGTTTTTCAAAATGATTATTTTTTCGTCACAGACCAAAAATTATTTAATTTTTATGTGCCATAAATTGTTTGTTTAGAAAATAAACTTTTATATTTCCTTCATAAAATCACTTTTTTCATTTCTTCATTTCTTCCTCAATATTAGAGAAATTTTTATGAGCTGTCCCTCGTATTTGTTGTTGGCAGGATGTACGTCATATTTATTATTCATACTCACATTAGTCATACCATACCTTCAGTTAGTGTGTTGACAGGTTATGGAGTCACTACATGAGAAGGTCATATAGTATTTATAGAAAAAACTTTTCTGCTGAAATTGTCTTCAAAATTTAATTTTTTAACTTCACATGCTATTTATAATAAAAATTCATTTAATTAAAAATAAAAAATGAGTAACTATCACAATTTCATATAAAATAATTTTATTATAAAACATAAAATTCAATTAAATTAAATTAAGAGGAATTAACATAAAGTAATATATAAATAATATAAAAAACAAAACATTTATACGCTATATATAATATGAAAATTATATCTTTCACATTTAGAAGGAAATGGAAGAAGAAAATTTAGTTTGACTTAGACAAGATTCAATACTAGCACTTCAAATATTATTCTATTGCTTCAAAACGTGACAAAACATTACGTTGTTCGAGCAATTCGAGCAAAAAGCTGTTCGAGCATTACGATGTTCGAGCAATTCGAACATTAAGCTATTCGAGCATTACACTGTTCGAGCAATTCGAGTAATAAACTGTTCGAGTATTATGATGTTCGATCATTACACTGTTCGAGTAGTTGGAGCATTACGATGTTCGAGCAATTCGAATATTAAACTGTTCGAGAATCACGCTCTTCGAGGGTTAAGCTGTTTAAGCATCACCATGTTCGAGCAATTCGAACATTAAGCTATTCGAGCATTACACTGTTCGAGCAATTCGAGTAATAAACTGTTCGAGTATTACGATGTTCGATCATTACACTGTTCGAGTAGTTGGAGCATTACGATATTCGAGCAATTCAAGCATTAAGCTGCTCGAACATTACACTGTTTGAGCAATTCGAACATTAAGCTATTCGAACATTACTTTGTTCCAGCAATTCGAGCAATAAGCTGTTCGAGCATTACACTGTTCGAGTAGTTTAGAGTATAACTGCTTGCTTGGATCGCTGATCCAAAACAATCGAAAATCTTCGAGTTTTTCGAGTATGATTATGCTCGAGTATTTAGTTCGCAAATGTTCAAACTTCATGTTGTATTTGAGTATCTGTTGATGTACATATTTGTAATAAAAACAAATCAAACAAAAATTAAATATAAATCAAATTTGGTGTTGTGATTAACTATAACATATTTGAAGAACTCGTACATTTTTAATCATTTGAAATGTTCGATTCAAATATTCGCATCGGATTATACTTGAACATCATAATGCTTGAAGACTTTGAAGCACTATACTAACCAACCATTCATGCAGTATTGTGTCACACAATAGTAAATGACAAATATAATTTTTATTAATTTTTAAAAATAATTTAGAAATTATTAAAAAAAAATTAACAATACATATAAACATAGACTTTTCAAAATATATTTAATATGGTAACGACATCATTTAGTCAACCAATTATTCTTTAAAACCTGTTTGGTGGTTCTGTCTTAGATACAGGCTCCAAACACAATTTAGACTCGCGAATATGCCTATATATAGAGAACAAGCATGATAATTACAAAAAAAGTCAAGTAATAACTAATCCAAAAGTATATGCAATTAGAAAGTTTGCGATTCAAACCCTCTTAAAATATTTCGGATAATTTTACAATATATACAAATACTTACAAATACTTTTTAAAGAACCCTCTAGAAAGGTTCTATTAAAATTAAGAGATCGTAATCTTAGCTTCTTTACTCCCACACTAAACCGTCCTTCAATGGTGGCTGTTAAATACATTAGCGCAAGTATTTTTGCTCTGATATTTAAGGGAGTACTATCTCGAGGTTTCTGCTTTTATAACACTATATGTAATAACATTAATGATATAACATTAATTATATTATTGTCTTTGTCACACACTTAAGAGAGGCCATTGCCTTCAGTGTGCCTCTTGAAATAAGGTCCTTACATATATTCATGGGAATGAAATGATCAACTTAAATTTATAAGCACAACATTATTATCAATTTTACATTCTTATTAATTTGAAGCACGATTTTTTGTAATTATTTTATACAATATATTCATTTTATGTTCAATGTATTAAAGCATATTCTGGAAAAGATCCTAAACCTATTCTTCGTCACCAGAAAACTATTGAGAAATGATCTAAACCGTGAGGTCTAGAATGAAAAAGCGAAAGTCTTCGAATTTTCTTGTCTGTATTTTAAATATACCTGTATAGGCTTATATTCGATAAATTCGATATTCGATAAATATTCTAAAATTTATTATTTATCGATATAAATGGGATAGCAATCGATTTTTAGCGTTTTGTTTAGTTTTTCGAACAAAGATGATAAAATCTTCTTAAAAACAGTCTTATTCCCCTGTGTTAATTGGAATGTGATAGAGCACAGTGCACAACGGAATATAGTTTTATATATACTAGTTTTGTATATATATATATTTAATATTTTAATATTTTTGTTATCGAAACCTCATTTAAACTAAACAAACCCAAATAAAGCTCTTACATTAATCCTCACATTTTGACTACATTTGGACTAAATCTCTCAATCAATCATAAGAAACTTAATCCTTGATAAGTAGAAATAAACTTCAATCGAATAAAATTTCTGTCAGTGCATCCTTGAATAAGGATTGGCGTCAGCATGTATCCTTCGATGGGTGTATGTACGAGTACGTTTCAAACCTACAAAGTGAGTAAAAATGAGTTAAAAAAAAAACTAACAGAAAAAAGGAAAACTATTCAAATTATCCTGAATAAATACAGAAAAAAGCGATAAAAAATTAAAAATAAAAACGCGCAAAAGCAGTCAAAGCTAAGCGAAGGCAAGGGGGCAAGGATAAAGGGGAGCTCATAGCTTGAATAAAATGAATTGCGTTTCAATTAAAGCACATTCGATGTCGATGCCATGACTGAAAGGACTGAAAGGACTTTAATGTGAAACGTATCCTTGTTTACCTGCACACACAATGAGCGCGGAAAACGTTCACGTACGTATTCGTATCTAAAGTGGAGCACGTAAATATAGTATCTGTTCCTGTTAAATTGCTATTTTATTTGTTGGATTTTGTAAATAAATAAGAAACTCAACCGAACACTCGGATTAGGTCATGCGGGTGCGTTCGTTTTCCTTCCTCCTCCCCTGTGCACTCACCAAAAAAGCTGTCAACTATTTTTATGGGCGCTGTTAGTTGCGATGTTGTTGCATCTGCATTGTTGCATTGTTGCATCATTCACTTGCCACACATCCGCATGTATCTTCGCTGGTGTTAAGCGCATAAAATGCATTTATGACACTTCTGAAGTTGTCTCATTTATGGACGTTTTCTACACATATCGTCGCGAAGGTGTCTGTACGCTTAAGTATCGCAAACTGAGAAATGCAGACTTGAGATACTTTAACGAAATTTAATGCATTTCGCTGTACTTAAGCAAATTTGCTTTAAAGATTGTTTTTTTTTACAATTTTTTGTATTGAATAAAATTTTACATTATGAACAAAAGTGAATCCATGTCGCCATTATGAGTAGTCAAAGTACAGAGGCGTAGTTGAGGTACTTTGAGGCTTAGGAACATAGTTTCAGCTTGAGGTTCTTTAAAAAATCCGCTCCTGTTTTTTATCTTAAAGTTAAGTTTTGTTATGTAATTATTTGTTGCTGATTTTGGTATTTTTGTTGCTGCTGCTGTACTCATAGTTGGTATGCCAATGGAGGAGTACATATTTAATCAAAATTTAATCAAAGCGTTTTCACCTTTTAATGGGCGCGTCATTTGAGTTTTCATTTGAGCAAATTTAACTGCAATTACAACAATTAAGAGAGTCAAAATAAAGCATTGCATA